CAGAGATAGAGCATAAGCTCGTGCAAACTGCTCTATAACCTCCTGTGATGCATTCTCCGGCAGATGACTGAATTCAACCCTCAGCCAAACAATCCTAACAACAGCGACACTGCCTACAAGATCGGCCGGAACTCGTCCCAAAAGTCTCAAACAGATCGCCGACCACTCCTCATCCGGTATATCAACTACGACGGCATCACCGTCGATCGCCAGACCGGACAGTGTAACAACGTCCTCTAACGTGATCGTCATCTCACCACACGGTAGATGGAAGGTCGACGTCTCGGGGCGCCACCGCTCTACGAGCGCAGTAATCAAACTAGCATCGGGGTTCATAGGGACTAGGGGCACGACACTTAACAAGCCTGCCGCTTCGAGATACGGCCGATAAAGCTCATGGTAAGGTACTAAAATGGTCGTACCTCGAACATGGTACGATCGATCACCAGCCTATAGTGCACAAAACTTATATTAATTCATTTTCATTCGTAATAATTCTAATTTCACCTAATAAATTTTAATCTGTCTTATCTAACATAAAATTATACTAATTTGAAATTATACTAATTTCACCTAACAGTTCAGTTCACTACCTAAAATAATCTAATTAGCTAATTAACTTTACATGAATAATTATCAAATACTTACCTCGTTTGTCCAAACAGAGTCGATACGATGTTGGCCATGTCCCCAAAGAAGTGTCGGATCGACCGGACTTGGATCAATTGTCGCCGGCGGTAATCTCATCGAATAAGGATCCATAAGCCTCGGAACTGCAAAAACAAAGCAACAAAACATTAAAAAAACACAAAACATTAAAAAAAAAATCAAGCTGCCGACGAGAGTCTCACCGCGCAAACGGCCGCCGACTCCACCACGACCTCGCCGACCTCTACCTCTGCCTCTGCCGGCGGCGACTGGTTCTTCGTCGGAGGACATCTCGGGCGGCGGCGGTTCAGTCCAAGGCGGCGACGCTCCTGTCTGCGGCGGCGGCGCCCGAGTCTGCGGCGGCGGCGCCTAAGTCTGGGGCGGTGCGGCGGTGCGGTTGCGGCGGGCGGCGGGGTTGGGGTGGAGGAAGAAGAAGAAGGGAGGAGGAGGAGGTCTGGTTCGGGGTTGGGGGAGGAAGAAGAAGGGAGGAATGTGTGGTGTGGGGAGGGGATAAGGTGGGAGCCGTCCGAATTTTTAAAAAAATGAGTCCGGGGCGCTCCCGCCTGAGTCTCGGGCGCCAGCGCCTCAGACTAATTAAAAAAATTTGACTGAGGCGGGGCCGCTTGAGACTGGGGCGCCAGCACCCAGGACTGGGTAAAAATTTAGTCCCGCCTGAGTCTCAGGTGGTCCCGCCCATTCCTTGCTAAAAAACACAATATCTTTGTCAATAGTTTTTAATTAGCCATATTCGTGGTAAATTAAAAAAAAAAAACAATATTTCTGTCATTAATCCTTATTCGTTCCTCCTAATGTGTCCCCTATTATTTGTTCTTCTCTTCTAACTTCTAAGTGTCCAATTTTGTTCTGTTCTCTATTCTACTCTATTCCACCTTCCCATCACTCAATTCAGGTATCAAAGTCCAACAGGTTATCATTTGTGTTAACGATGGATACCTAATACACTGAAGCAACCCAATTCATAAACCTCCCTCAAAAAAAAAAAAAAAACCCCAATTTATAAACCTACTTAGAAAAAAAAAATCACATCAACGTTGATATGAAATGAAACGAAGGAAATAGACATCGATCCATAATAATGCCAACTATACATACCCTGTGAATGGGTAAATTAAGCGTTTTATCACTGGATTTATCTATTTTTTTCAAGTTTGTCACACAATTTTTTTTTCCTTTGATAATAGTTACTCACATTAAATTTTATTTCACCGTTAATCATTGGCCTTCCAACTTCTTTAAATTCATCCTACGTAGCAGTCAACTAAGACCTCTGCCCGTTAGTTTGATAACGTGATATTAAGAAAATAAATTTTTGGTGAAAAACGTTAATTTTTTTTTTTTTTTTATAAATTGAGGACCAAACATGTAATCTATTCTGTAAATAGCAGATGTGTCTAAAACTAAAATGAATCGCCCATGCTATATAGTATATACATTGAACCGAATGGCCAAATGGCATTTGCCGTTTTGAAGAAAAGAGCTACTAGTTACCAACTTACCATGATCTCTTGTTCGCCCTTTTTGAGTTTGCATACATGGAACTCAGCCTACCAAAATTTAGGCATGATGGAGACTTGTCAGCAACCAGACAAGACTACTCGATTTGCTTGTCATTTTGATACATGTCCGGCTTTGCTCTTGAATAATGAATGGCCTAGTTAAGTCAAACAGCTCACCAAATGTAAAAAACTCAAAATCACACTCCTTGGTAAAATTTGAAGCTTTTAGGTCTAAAATAGGATGGCAAGTTACCCACCCATGGGTAATTATACCCAAACCCAAGTAGACCCATTGATAATGGGTTGGGCATGGGTGAAGTGCATATGGATTTGGGGGTTTATAGATGGGTTTGGGTTTGGGGCTTCCATAATCTAAATGGGTATGGGTTGGATATGGATATCCATTTACTTGAGGGTGTTTTAACTACACATGCAAAAATTGGACCTATTTGCAAAACTTGAAAAGTTTAGGTACCAAAATGTAAGACCAAAAAAATTTAGGTACCAAAATGTAATTTTCCATCGATATTTTGAGGACTTTTATGCAAAAAAATTAAATTTAGGTACTAAATATGCATGTCTATTAAGTTTGTGTACCAAACTGTAATTTGTATTTGGGCATGGGTACAAACCCAAATCCATTTGATATAAACCCAACTCAACCCAAAGTAAATGGGTATGGGTACAAACCCATCAAACTCTACCCATATCCATCTATCTGGATTTCATACCCAACCCAATTGGGTTGGATAGTAAGAAACCCATGGGTATGGGCAAAGTTGCCATCCCTAGTCTAAAATGACCGAATTGCTTTTAAGGAACTTAGGCACTCTTTGAGTTCCAAGGATCCATAATTCCAAATTGATTGGCGTGCTAGTTATATCCACGATTCATCCATTCTAATAAATAAATAAAAATTGGTCCAAACAATGGAAAATGTTAACGGTGGAGAAACAGCTGGATTGATTGCTTTACTACTATGGTACACACCTCTTCAAATACTGTTAGAAAGGAAGTGTTTGGTGTATAGGGTTCCGTTAAGTTACACTACTTCTATAGAGAACTCCACTATTACAATTAAGACTACGACTATGGAAGATACTACAAAGAAAAATGAAAAGGGACAGTTGAGACTAGTTGTCTTCTATGTTGGATTGTGATTGTCTCCCTTCCTCTAGAAACTTGCTTAAAGTTTTGTTGTAGAGGTTGTCCAATTGCTTTATATGTCCTCTCCCTGAAAAGTAACTCCAGCTTAGCCTCTACGCAAGCCAGTTGTCGTTGTAGGAGGTCTCTAGACACCTCCCCATGTCATCATGTTTCAACATGGATGGTACCATCCAGTTAGTACTTTGAATGGTATCAATGAAATAAGATGTTGGATGACATCCATGATATGGGATGATCACCATCCACTAATGAGTTGGACGGTGTCCTTGAATAGGATGGTACCATCTACTAAGAGGTTGGATGATATCCATGGTATGAGATGATACCATCTACGAAGAGGTTACATTATACTTTATTATATGGGATGATCACCATCCACTTAGAAGTTGGATGATGTCTATGATATGAGATGATACCACCCACTAAGAGATTGGATGATACCATCACTTTGGTGTTAGATGGTATCCATGAGACTGGACACATGTTGACAAAATATTCGATGGTCATCTCGCACCCAACCGCTATCCACCAAAGTACGTCATCCTAGACCATCAGCTATGCATGGACCTAGCTATATAAAGCGGCCCAACCATTCACAATAGCTCATGTGGTATTTTAAGGGGTTTCAGTTCAAAAGTTAAAGGAGGGTCAAACACCTATAAAAGTTCGGTTTTTGAAAAGTCAAAAATGTTTTTGTATATCATAAAAGTAGAAGCTCTGATTTGCAACTTCTGCGAAAAACTATTTTGAAAATACAAGATTATTCTTACCATATTTTAATTTTATTTTAGAAAATATAGTTTTCTTTCATTTATATCATTTTAAAATAAAATAAATTGTAAATCATATTTTTTTAATATAAAATAAATCTAACAAGATCCATTTTGGCTACTTTTTATTGTTTAGAATTTTTATTATAAATTCTTTATAGTCATTTTACACAACCTCTCATATTAAAAAATCACTTCTAATGGTTTTTCAACCAAACACTCAACTACTTTTTTTTGAAGGAACATTACTGCTTGATGCTTCATAAGCGCTTTTAGTGCTCTAGTGGCTCAGTTTGGCCCTGCTGTAGTTTTTGAGGATCCAGTTTCTGTCTTGAGCTTTTTCAGAAGTACTTTTCAAAAAAAGCAGTTGAGTGTTTAGCTGAAAAACTATTAAAACTGCTTTTTAATATCGGAGGTTGTGTAAAGTGACTATAAAGGACTTATAATATAAACTATGAATAATAATTCTAAACAATATAATGTAGTCAAAATGGATCTTGTTAGACTTCTTTTATATTAAATAATATTTTTTTATTATTTATTTTATTTTTTAAAATATATGAATGAAAGAAAATTATGTTTTCTGAAATAAAATTAAAATACGGTAGGGGTAATCTTGTATTTTCAAAAAAAAATTTCGCAGAAGCTCCAAATCGGAGCTTCTCTTTTTTATGTTATACAAAAGCGCTTTTTGGCTTTTCAAAAGCCGAACTTTTAAAGGTGTTTGGTTCTGCTTCAGCTTTTAAATCCGAAAAATACTTCTACAAGCCGGGCCAACATAGATAGTATAAGGAGTATTTTTTTTATTTGATAACTAGTATAAGGAATGTGAAAGTGCTAAAAAAATTGAAAAGGCTAATTAGCTGTTGATATAAAGAATTAAGAAAATAATTACCGAAAAATTAAGAAAATCAATTCCCAATGATATCTTGTCACGACAACATTCATACGCATTACCAACTCTCCCCACAATAATGGCAAATTAGAACCCAAAAGCAATGGACGGTTCCGAATCCTTGGGACAAGATTTATTATTATTAAAATAAAATATCCCCAAAATTCTCCACACAAAATTCAGAGAGAATCACGTTACCGTCGATCTATCACTCAATACCAGCCACCAATTTTGCCCAAGATATTTAATTTAATTTTAAACTACTTTTTTTCATTTATTTTCCCGAATTGCCCCTCACCATATCCTCAATTTTGTTGTCAACCGAAGCGAATGCACTGGAAAGTCATGGGCAAATCGGACCTCGATGTCCTATCAAATATCAGAGATCCACAAAAAGCACTCCACAGCTCACAGTTCACTCTTCCTCCCTTCATTTCAGTGTGAGCCTCACTAAATTATCTGACCAGAACAAAAATGGCTACTGCGGCCATGGGAGCTCTCAAAGTGCCACCTTCCTCGTCGGCTTCTCCTCCTTCCTGCTCCACCAATGCCGGCAGGAAATCGGAGGCAAGGAGCTTGGGGTTCTCGTCGTCGAAACTCTCCGGGGAGAAGTTTTCCTCCAGGGCATTGTCCGCTAGACGGTCTGGGAAGAGCGGCCGGAATGCGAGGACTCCGCTGATCGTTTCTCCGAAGGCTGTTTCGGATTCCAGGAACTCTCAGACCTGTCTTGATCCTGATGCGAGTAGGGTGAGTTTGATTGATTGGTTTCTCTGGGTCTGAATTTTCGTGCTTTTCGTTTCTATTTTGGGTCATCAGCATAGAATTGTGAATGTTTTGCCTGCATTGTGAGCTGGAATTGGTTGTGTGCCGTTATATTGTAATTTCTTATTGGATTCACGCCAAAAGATATGAATTTGTGGCAATTAGATGTGCAATTGGAATGGCTGATCTTGTGGAATTCATTTGAGAAGTAAAGGCCTTTTGGGTGGGTGCGATCTGAATCTTTCTTCATTTTATTGTTCATGACAGAGTGTTCTAGGTATTATCTTGGGAGGTGGGGCTGGAACCAGGCTTTACCCACTGACCAAGAAGAGGGCAAAGCCTGCTGTCCCTCTAGGAGCTAATTACAGGCTGATCGATATCCCTGTCAGCAATTGCTTGAACAGCAACATTTCGAAGATTTATGTTCTTACCCAGTTCAACTCCGCATCCCTGAATCGTCACCTCTCGCGGGCTTATGCGAGCAACATGGGTGGCTACAAGAATGAAGGGTTTGTCGAAGTTCTCGCAGCTCAGCAGAGCCCAGAGAATCCCAACTGGTTCCAGGTAAACAATACAATCTGCAATTACTTCTTATACACTGGTATTGTGATTGTTGTTGGAAGGTTTGATGTCATTCAGATTGTTGTTGTCGTATGACTCAGGGGACAGCTGATGCTGTAAGGCAGTACTTGTGGTTGTTTGAGGAGCATAATGTGTTGGAGTATTTGGTTCTTGCTGGGGATCATCTTTATCGAATGGACTATGAGAAATTTATTCAGGCTCATAGGGAAACTGATGCAGACATTACTGTTGCTGCATTGCCGATGGATGAGAAGCGTGCTACTGCATTTGGTTTGATGAAGATCAATGAAGAAGGTCGGATTATAGAGTTTGCCGAGAAACCCAAAGGAGATCAGCTTAAAGCTATGAAGGTAGTATCTCTTATCATGTGGAGTTGATAACATCTATGGTTTCTAATATTCGAGCTAGTGGCTTGACATGTCTTTTTTCCAGGTTGATACAACTATCTTGGGTCTGGATGATCAAAGAGCAAAAGAAATGCCCTACATTGCTAGCATGGGTATATATGTTGTCAGCAAACATGTGATGCTAGAGCTACTCAGGGATAAGTTTCCTGGTGCCAATGATTTTGGCAGTGAAGTAATTCCTGGAGCTACATCCATTGGCATGAGAGTGAGTATACTTCACCTTCTACATACTATCAGAAGTATTGCCAATGTTTTTTGCTCTCTGCACATTACACTTTTTGCCACCATCTTAATGATTTCACCATAAACTCAATAGGTGCAAGCTTACCTTTATGATGGATATTGGGAAGATATTGGTACAATGGAGGCTTTCTACAATGCGAATCTTGGAATAACAAAGAAACCAATTCCAGATTTCAGGTACTATTCCTGGTACTATTCCTGATTCTAGCTCCATTTAGAAAATTTATAAAAAATGTTTTCTAAAACTTGGATATTTTTTGCAGCTTCTATGATCGGTCTTCTCCTATCTATACACAACCTCGGTACTTACCTCCATCCAAGATGCTCGATGCTGATGTCACAGACAGTGTCATTGGGGAAGGATGTGTCATTAAGGTAAAATATGTGGTTTGAAACCTGTTTTAATAGTGTACTGGATATTTGTGTTGACTTGTTCTCATCTTTGATCAGAACTGCAAAATTCATCATTCCGTTGTTGGGCTCCGATCCTGCATCTCAGAAGGTGCAATCATTGAGGATACATTGCTGATGGGAGCGGACTACTATGAGGTACACATGGCCCCGGAACATCATCACTCATATCAATAACATATTTTGCCCATTTAACCATTGTATAGTTCTATGCCTAAGTGTTCATCATGTTGATTAATGTCATGTCCTCAAATCTGGTTATTGTAGACTGACGCGGACAGGAGGTTCTTGGCTGCCAAGGGCAGCGTTCCTATTGGCATAGGCAAAAACTCCCACATCAGGAGAGCAATCATCGACAAGAACGCTAGAATTGGTGACAATGTCAAGGTTATAATCCCACTTGTCTCACTTAATAACAGAATTGGTTTCTTCCCATATATATATGTATATATATTATATATATATCTCACATAAGTTTTATTGTTCTCAATTGCTTTCAGATCCTTAATAGTGACAATGTACAAGAAGCAGCAAGGGAAACTGATGGCTACTTCATTAAGAGCGGGATTGTGACTGTAATCAAGGATGCTTTGATTCCCAGTGGAACCGTGATTTAAGAAGAAGCGAAGTGTTTTCTTCATATAAGTACGGCTTCTAGCGGTTAGGGAGCAAGATGGTAAAAAAAAAAAAAAAAGTTGAGTTGTTTAGCCTCTTTTTAATCATTTGTGCTGCATGATAGTATGTGTTTCTTCTCTCATGGCTTGGGGCTGGGTTGTATAGTTAACAACATTGTCAAGTATGGTGGCAGCCAGAGGGAGCGAGAGCACTCAATAAATCCAAAAAGAAAAGAAAATCGTCATGCTGTAAAGGGTTTTTATTCTTAGCAGTAATTTTCAATTTTTATCACTATGCAGAAAGAGCAAGCAGAGAGTAATGTAGCTTCATTCTCCTTGTGTACTCTCCTTGCCATTCCAATTTCCAACCTTGTTACTAACATTTTCATGTTAATAGTTAAATATCGATATCGTGACCGAACACGCTTATATATGTTACGTATTATGTCGCGATGGAGGATTTACTTGAGGAGAAGATCGAAGTTGTTGATAGTTCACCTATGCCACATCAGCTTTGAATTATTATTATGCTTCCATGTCAGCAACAAACATATATTATTAAACAATTCTTTTTCCCCCTTCAAAATCAATAAAATGTAGCAACGGTAAAAGCAAAAAAATGGTATATAAACAATCATATCTCCATAGTGCTCTTTCCCATTGTTGGGGAAAAATATCACCATCTCATCAACGGGCAACGCTACCGGCGCCATAAAAATAGCGTCTCCCCACCCAAAATCAGTGGTGCAAAAGGGAATCCGTGACCAGGTTGTCGCAAGCATAGTATGTGCAAAAGAATGCACATTTCTATGCAGCTCATGACAATCAATCGAAGATCTAACACTAGCATCTGTAACCATCTTGATTGCATCTTGAACCAACCCCACTGTTGTTGAAAAAGACTCGTTGTTCAAGTCCTTAGCTTTGCTGATGGTGCAAGCCACTGCAATTCCATTCCCCAAGTGCCCTTTAGGCAATGGCGGATCCATTTTCTCCCTCACATTCACAGGTACCATGAGTTTGGTTTCCTGATCGGCAACCATGTTCAACGCCTTGCTTCGAGCTATCCAAATGAAAGCTGTAAGGCATTCGAAAGTGGAGCACTTGGAGATAACTGCATCTTCCATAGCCTTTGATTTTAGTTTCTTTATCGATTCACGGTTAAAATGAAAAACCCTACACACCATGTTCTCTTTGGAGAAGTCATTGAAGGCAGATGATGAGGACTTGTTCTCTATTTTTGTAAATTCCGGATGAATGAACTCAACCTTTGGTGGATTACGTGGTAGTAGAGAGCTTTTGTCCAAACTAGGAAGCACTGAAATCGACATTCCTCTTGCGATCTCCGCCCATGAGTTCACCACCTCCGTCGCTGTAAAACCATCGGTCAGGCAGTGCGAGATACACATTCCAAAAATGAATCCTCCACATTTGAGCTTTGTCACCTGAAACCAACTTTGATTCGTCATTGGATGCGCGATTGAGATCACATAAGTATCGATATATCAATATACCGTCATATTGTTATTACATCCTAGGTTAGATTACCTGGACAACCAAAAGGGCCCATTCTGGTAAAGGCTTGGCATTGCCATGAATGCCATCATCGTAAACCAAGTCGACGAGCTTACTCGGGTCACTCCTCACCATCTCTTCAACATCTTGCATGGTAAAGTCAGCCTCGCTCGGCCTCCACGAAAACAACACCTTTCTCGTAGCAACTCACCGCCAACTTTTCTCGTGAGACGACTGTCAGTCGACCCGCCAACGGATAGTAATGAACGAGGAGCTTTCGCAAGGCTGCTTTGAACACTTGGCCGGCCATTTCGTTCCCTTTCTTGTTCGACTTGAACCCATAAATGGAACGTACCCAACATACAATGTGGTCGAGGAATGAGAGGGGAAAGACTCCTTTCTCCTTGATTTCCTCTTGAGGTGGTGAAACCATGACCGGCTGCCCACGCTTCACAAGTATGTTATTGCAAAATGGTCTACACATGGTGGACTTTCAGCAAAAGACCACAATAATCTGTGTTTGTTATCGAAGGAGTTTGGACGTTATAGTACTGTTATTTTCTTCTACTTTGAAGTCTGCTTATGATGTTAGTGAAGCCAGGTATATATACTGAGAAGCTGATAATGTATGGATATGCACGGACAATAAACATAGTGTGGATTATGGAATGTCGATTCAATCTTTAACGTCAAGTGCCATGTTTGTTTATGGAATAGATAAAAATCGTTACATTTGCGGACTTGGTCCGGAGGAGTACTTCACCTTTGCTATGGATTTATCTTTTTGGACGAGCAGAAAGAGTTATGAATTACGCGTAACATGGAAAGAGAGAAGAAATTAGAAAAGGGTGCGTACGTAAAGACACGAGCATGGGGAAGGGAAGAAGGAATTCGTCAATGGAGAGGCGCCATATGTTATTGGTGCATCTCGTACTCGGTCTCAAGTGAGCTATGAAATTAAAATGCAGTTTTGCCATAATCCAAATTTGACTATAGCTAGCTAGATGCCAAAGCTACGAAGTTACATCGGGGCGCAAGTCTAGCTATGTTTATAATTATTAAAGTAATGTAGGTTTTAGGATGAATCGTCTTCAACTTCCATCCTTCTTCGACATGAGGCTCCTCCCTTTAGGATAAATCAAGAGCTCCCTCTTCTCTGCTCTCTGATTTATCCTCTACAACTTCTTCTCTCTCCCTTTCATCCTCTTCTTGAAGCACAAAATTGAGTAGGGGTGTTCAAACGGTTTGGTTACCGTGATAATCGTTTTAACCCGTACTATTTAGATAATTTGGTTTGGTTAATTTGGATAATTGGTTTGGTTTGGTTAAAGTTTTTAACTTGTTTGGTTTAGGTGGTTTGGTTTGGTTTCAGACACTCCTAACCAGTCAAACCAAATTAACCAGTTAAGTAATTAGTCATATATCTAACATATATTATATACACATAATACTTTGCATAACCACTCAAGAGTTAACGTTCATCCCTTTTAGACTCATAAAATATAAAGCTCAATATTGCTCATATAGTGTATATTTGTATATGTAAAGTCTAGACCACAATATATGGACGCCTAATTTAGATAAATTTCATACATTATGATGAATGAAAACTTGAAAGGAAGGTCATTTCCAGCCTATGATAATTGCTAAGAGACTAAGTCAATTTACACAAACACAACAATTCATTAACCCATGCATACCATTGTCATAATTTTTTGTTAGGTGAATACTTCTATACTAATCGTAAGATAATTGTCTTAGTTGCATGTATTTTTGTTAAGGGTCAACTATAACTACGTGTTGATTGTTATGTTTTATTCATTATATAAATTGCGAATTGTTGCATTAACCGGAAAATTTTCATCGTCAATGATAATGTGATTTTATATTGGTTAATCTGGTTAACCAATTAACCAAACCGATTAAATTTAGTTTGGTTAATTTGGTTGTTGTATTAGTTTGGACGGTTTGGTTATGATATTGTATTCCATGGTTAATGGAATTTAGCCTTATTTGGTTTGGTTATAACCATGGTAACCATTTGAACACCCCTAAATTTGAGAGCAAGTTACCATGCAAGATTCTTGATGAGATCATATTGCATATCCTCATTCGTGTTCCTCTCTTCAAAACTCGATGTGGAACATGAAAGGGTGTGGTATGCTACAACAGGACTTGATTGCTCGTCATTGTCATGGGAGCTTTATGTGGCAAGTTAAATCTGCTTCGTACGCAACTTTCCCAACAACCTGTCCTAGCTTCTCCACCTTCTTTAGAGATTCCTTTATTGCACGGAGAATATACAGTACATTCCCTTTCACAATCATGCTAGGGTTGTATGAAGAAAAAAAGTTACAAAATGCATCACCAAGAAATATAATGTGACTGGCAAGGGCAAAAGTAGCACATGTCAAGTGGTATGCTCTGTAACATTAACAAGTGCTCCAATTTGATAGTCATTCGAATTAACCAATAGATATTTCTATTGTTCTCATAAAAAAAATATTTCTATTGTTACTCTAAATGCTTACAGTCCTATAGGGACTCAAGGGTAAGCTCCAAGGCTTCCACCATCACAACCACTATAACAGTAAATAAAAGATAAACATATGAAACAATCTGCACGATAATATCCACCGCTACAATATGGAGGGCAAAAAATTAGAAACCATCTTATAACAAGTCTAAACACCAAAATATTTCTATCAAACAAATAAACTACAAAAACACATATAAATGTATGTCAAACCACCCAAAAAAGGACAACACAATAATGATAATGTGGAATGATAACATCTATTCATAGTACCTACAACCAATTCTTGAGACTCATATTTACTCATTATTAGATGTCAATAAACAAAGAGACTTTCGATTAGGGTATAGTCAACTATGGCCAGTGGCGGAGCCAATGTAATATATTATATAAGGTGAGTCTCGTGATCAACCTTGACTCGGAAAAAACATGTATAAATATAAATACAATTGTTAAATGTCTGTGAAATTTAAACCATAAACCTTATCGATATTAGTCAATATATATGCCACCAAACTAAAACTAAATCATAACCTTAGATTGTGGTTATTTATATTCAATACACTCTAGTATCTACGTAAATAACACTAAGAAAATCAAAATTCATTTTTGAGGTCTTAATATTTTAAGTTTGTTCATCTTCTTTCACAAAATCGTTCTCTTGTTGAAACTCGATAGCTTTCTTTTATTCTAATAATGAGTCACTGATAACGATGTAATTGCATGTATTGGCACCCCTAATTCTTATCCGTTTAAGAGGCATAGTCGTGTATTTTGGCCTATTTTACGCCGGGTTGTGCTATTTTGTCATATTTCAGGTCCCAAGCGTCAAAGGAAAGGCTAAGCACGAGTTTCGGGGCATTCGGAGGTCATTTCGTCAAGTTGGAGCAAAAACACGGGTAGACCTAAAACAGAACACAGCCGTGTTCTGTGGCCGTGTTTTTACTGCCGAGAGCAAATTCAAGTTGGGCAGACATTGGCTAAAAACACCGGCAGAAGCACGGCCGTGTCCACCAAAGCACGGCCGTGTCCACCACCAAACACGCCCGTGTTTCGCGCAATGCACAGGCCGTGTAATTAACCCTAGCCAAAACACGGGCGGGCTGAGGCATTACACGGCCGTGCCATCGACCGTGTTTTGGCCACTGATGCCTTATTAAGCAGATTTTCAGCCAAAGAGAAGGGGATTCGAGTTTTTGAGAGAGAGAACGATTCCTAGAGAGAGAAAGCGACGAACAAGAGTCTCCAAGTGCCCTAGATTGATCTTCAACACCATTGGAGGCCAGCTTGAGCTTGGAGGAGTGCCAATCAACGTCCAGGAGCAGGAATCCATCCTTCACAGTATGAATTCCGCGTCTGATTCTGCTTTTGCTTTCTTCTCCATGGAGTAGTTCTCCCATTCATCTGGGTATGGAGAACCCTAGATTTGTATGTTAGGCTTTGATTGTATGAACCCAATTACTGATTCTATGATTGATTATATTTGATTGAGGTTTGAATGATTGAATGGCATGAATCCTGATCAAATTCATGTTGTTTCTGCTTTAACCTAGAATGAGAATATCTGCCTAGGTTAATAGAGTATCCTTGATTGAAGAGGGAGTTGGTGACTTTAGTCGAGGAACCAACTCACTATTCTGTACCGGATTCATTCCGGTAGTGGAGGTTTTGTTCTTAGGGCCTCAATCTGTTTACTCCGGTGGAGGTTAGTCGCCCGCTAGAGATTCAGATTGAGAGGGTCTGAAGACCTTTAGTCGAGACTTCAGGCTGTTTAAGAACCTTCCGCAGTATAACTATCATAGAAACTGAACTTGGTAATTACAATCCGGCTTAACTGCAGTCTAGAGGGAACCATATCCGGGTGGCCTCTTTAACCTGAATACAACAGTTTACTTGCTTTGTTTGTTTGGTAGTTTAGACTTGCATTCCAGTTTCATTGCTAGATAACAAGAACTCACTGAGTAGTCATCAGATCTAGGACCCGGGTTGACATATAAACCTAACCCGCTATACTATGCTTTAGGAAGTGGTTTCACTTG